CAGCCGTGGGGCCCACGCGCCTGGCCGCAGCCTCACGCTGGGTCCCCGCAGGCGCCGACGCCGGAGGTCAAAGCGGCCTGGGTGAGGGAGATCCGGAAGGTGCTGACCAGCCAGCTGCAGGCCTGCAGGGGTGAGTGCCGCCGCCCTGCTCCCCGCTCCGGGCGCTGCCCCGGCCTCACGCGCCCCTTCCTCGCAGAGGCCAGCCAGCACCGGGCCCTGGAGCAGTCCCAGAGCCTGCCCCTGCCCGCCGTGCCCAGCACCAGGTGAGGCGCCCCGTTGCCCGCCCCCAGCACTGCACTGGCAGCAGCGCTGACGGCTGGGTCAGCCAGCGGGAGGGCCGCCCCAGGCAGACACCCAGGAGCTGGGCGGGTGGAGTCACCCCCAGGACCGTGGCCCAGGGTGCTGGCCGCCCGCAGCAGTGCCCTTATGACACCCCTGCTGCCCGTTGGGCCTCCCCCCCCTCCCTGCCCCTCCCCCACCCCCACCCACCCCTGTGCCCAGTGCTTCCAGCACCAGGGTGTGCTCCGGGTAGGGACCCAGAGGACAGCGTCTTCAGCGGGGACCCCAGCGCAGGCCGGCCGACCCAGGCTGAGAAGGCGCTGGCCCCGCGGACTCTTGCGAGCTAAGCAGGCGCCCCTCTCTGCCGCGTGTCTGATGTCACAGTCCCCCGAAAGGAAACACGAGAAACAGCAAAAAGTTGGAAGAAAGAAAAACTGAACCTCTGAGTCTGGAAGGATATGGGGGCTCGACATCCGGGCCTAAGCCCCCCGACAAGGGCAAAGGTGGGGGGCTGTGGTGGCTGAGACTGTCTGGGCACCCCTTCGGGTGGGGCCTTCTGGGTGCCTGCTGGAGTGGGGGTTGTGTCTGCGAGTGCCTCCTAGGAAGTGGGGGCCCATGTCTGGGATGCCCCCTAGCAGGTGGGGTCATGTCTAGGGGTGTCCCCTGGAGGGCAGGGGCCATGTATGAGAATACCCCCTAGGAAGTGGGGGCCCACGTCTGAGCTGCCCCCTCGGGTGGGGCGCGCGTCTGGGGTGATCCTTTGAGGCCCTGAGCCTCAGCCTGCACAGGGGTGTCTGGAGGTTGCAGAGTCCCCCGGTGGGTGTGCACCCCGCCCGGGGCAGTGCCGCCCGGCCTCCCACGTGGGCGGGCCCTGGAGCCCTGTGCCCTCTCTCTCCACAGACGCGGCGGTCACCAGCTCGGCCTCCGAGAGCTCGGCGCTTTCCAGAAAGCTCTCTGCGCGGCAGGGCCTGGCACCCCCCGCGGGGCTCCCGGGTAAAGGC